TAATTTCATAGACTTTATTTTCTTTTTTTAAAGATTTATTTATTCATTTATGCAAGAACCAGGGTACAGGCCAGATGCACAGCAGGGTGAGAGGATTCATCAGAGACAGAGCAGGGAACAGAGCAGGCAGACTGATGAAATACACTGCTGAGGGGAGCAGCGGGTGAGACAGGAGAGGTCTGGCGTGCCATGTGGGACACTCCCCGCCCAATCGGGATCGAACCAGCGCTGCAGAGGCTGCGGAGAGCTTCACAGTGCAGCACTCAACTGCCTGCGCCACCAGGGGAGGCCCGGAAACACATATTCTTGACTGAGGGAAAGCATGTGCAAAAGAGCTGGGGTGCTCCCAGTTGGCCAGGCCCTCAGTGAAAGGAAGGAAGTACACTGGGTGGCAGTCCTATTTCCCCACCCCTCAGGATTCATACTGACCTTGAGAGATATACTGATAACACACAGAGACTGCAGAGTTTCAGGTCTGGCCACTCAGAAAAGTAGGTTATTCATGGGGCTACAAACAAGAACCTCCCTTCACACCCCAGCATTCACACTAGCAGCTTGACCTCTTTAAGTTCTTCCCCCACCCACTTATTCAACAGCAGTTTTCAGACCTACAGAAAGAGCAAACATCCAAAATCAGATAAAACTACATCTCTGGTAAGGTAGAAGTAATTCAATTTTCTAAGATCTAAAACTGCAAAATGGGCAGACAACAAAACACAACACAGAGCAACTTGATACCTCAAGGAAGTATGACACCAATAAGGAGAGAACAACATTCCAGATATGGAAGATATGGAAGATTTCATCTTATCAAAAATGCTATGTTAAAGAAAATCAAAGGAAGGGAAAAAAAAACGCAAAAAGCAACTCAAAGTGATTGATACAAGAGAACTCTGAAAAGCTAATCAAAGAGATTAATAATATTTGGAAAAACAAATGTCATGAAAAATTCAATTAATGAACATAAAAGACAAATTTGAAACTTTGATAAGAGGGTAAGGAGTGGCAGGATATAAAAAGATGAACAGAGGGATTTTAAAAAAATTCTGCAGAAAGCTATGAAGGCAGGCTACATAAACAGAGTATCAAATTGATGACCTTGAAGATAATGCACAATTTGAATATGATGTGATTCCACTAAGGAAGGCAACATAAGGATAACAAGTAACCTGGAAAGAGAGAGAAAAGGAAACAGAGAACTTATTTGAAGAAATAATAGAGGATAACAGATAAAAGAAAATAAATAATAGAGAAATAACAGAATATTTAAAGTGATAAGGGAGAAAAAGTGGGTAACCTATAAACATACTATATCACCAGACTTACATCAGAATTCTTTGAGGAAACCCTACGGGCAGGGAAAGAATTGAATGACATATTCAAAATACTTAAAGATAAAAATTGCCAGCCAAGAACACTATATCTTGCAGGATACTCCTTCAGATATAAGGAAAACTAAAGGCTTTCTCAGATCAACAAAAGTTGAAGGAGTTTGCCAACACTACCTGCCCTACAAGAAATGGTGAAAGGAGCTCTCCTGACTAATTCCAAGGGAAGAAAACCACAATAACTGAACAAGAAATAGCTAAAACCAGAAAATTAAAGACAAAATGGCACTGGAACATCCTCATATAACCACAGCCACAATAAATGTAAATGGATGGGACTCACCAAACAAAAGGCATAGGATGCTAGGTGGATCAGAAAACAAAACCTTACTTTCTGCTGATAGGTAGAGGGAGACCCATCTGAAAATCAAAGATAAACATGGGCTGAAAAATAAAGTACTAGAAATCAATCATCCAGGGAAATTCACCCATAAAAGGCTGGCACAGCCATACTTATCAAATAAAATAGACTTCCAGCTGAAAAGGTAACAAGAGACAGAGATGATTATTATGATTAGGGGATCAATAAATTAGGAATATATAACACTCATCAATATATATGCACCAAATTAAGGAGTATCAAAATATACAATAATAAATAGTACATGCATTAATTATCTTTTTTTCTTGTTCTTTTTTTTTGCTACAAAGTATATGAGTCTTGTTTGAGACTAGAGAGCAGAAGAACTAGTTCTGCCTAGGAAATATTTAATATTTAAATGAAATATTTATCAGAAAGGAATATTTAAATCAGATAGCTAGCTAGACAGATTTATAGATAGATAAATGCTGATGAACTGTTGAATTATTCTGGGGATCTTAGGCAGTTGAATAAAGTAATTCAGGTAACTTGGTAGCAAATGAAATCACACTTGGTTCTTAGAAGATGTTGGAAGAAAGCATCTCCATGTAATAACATTAAGGTGGGGCTAGGGGTGGGAACAGAAAATATTTATTCTTCAAATGGCTATTTCTAATAGACATTACAAGGAAGGTGCTAGAGAAAGAGAATACTTTATGTTTCTACTGTTTCCACAAACTCCTTCAGCTTAAAATGTACAATATGCCAAAGACCATAATTTGGGTTTGCATTTCTTGAAGCATACAAACCCACATGTGAGAGATGTCTTCACTGTACCTGGAGGAAGGCTGCAAGATGAAGGGATGCTGCAGGAAATTCAAACAGATACTGATAAGTCTACCCCAGTTTGCTACCCTTAGCTCACACCCTTTTTTTTTTTTTAATTTTTTTAAAGATTTATTTATTTATTTATACAAGCACTGGGTACAGTCAGAAGCACGGGAGGGTGATAGAATTCATCAGAGCCAGAGCGGGGAGCAGAGCAGGCAGAAGGACCGAAGTACACTGCTGAGGGGAGCAGCGGGCGGCAGGAGAGGTCTGCGCACCATGTGGGACCCTCGTGGCCAGGGAGCAGCAGGGGACCAAACCGGTGCTGCAGAGGCTGCGGGCAGCTTTGCAACCCAGCGCTCAACCTCTGCGCCACCAGGGAGGCCCTCATACCCTTTTGTCTTATCATATATCCCATGACTTCCCACATTTTGTCAAATCTACCATAAAAACACTCAGGCTTAACTGCTTTTATATCTCATTTCCTTAGGAAGGCTTTCATGTCAATAAAATGTACATTAAATTTGTTGTCTTTTCACCTATTGCTCTTTCTTTGCCAGGCTAATTTACACATCTCTAGCTCGAGAGCCTAAGATGGGTCAAGGAAGAGATTTCATTCTTCCTTCTTTATATCTCTTTGTTCATTATCGTGTACTGGGTGTGTGTATAGTGCCTTATGAAGGTGTTCAGGAATGTGGAAAAGGGAGAATGGGGCAGAAGGTGTAGAACTTTACTGTAGACACCTTAGAAAAGTTTCCAGGTACTTTCAAAGGTTTTAGAGGTTGATGGCACTGGGTAGTTATTAAGTCTAATTTCACTTTAAAATGTGAAGCTTTCCTGTTTCCTGATAAAGGCACCAGCAACCGTCCTCATATACTTATCATCCCATAGCTCTGCTGGACTGTAAGTCACAGTTACAATATTTTACAACTCCTCTATTTCCCAAATTTTTGTATCTACATTTTCCTTGTGACTTGCTTTGACCAATTAACTGTGGCAGTGGTGATGATGAGTTGCTCCTGGAGCCTGGGTGTTATGAAACCTGTAGCTTGGAAGACTTAAGCCTTCAAATAAGGAATCTAAGGTTAGACAGTGGATGGTGGAGGCCTCCTGGGTGCGTGGCATTTACACTTATGAGGCTGAATGAGCAGTAAACATAGACTGGGGGAAGGACAATGCCCGTCAACCCACTGATACACAGAAAAAGCAGAATATTTAGGAACACCCAGATGGATGGGTTGATGAGGTGGCAAGGCCAAATAGATCTGTCATTTTCTATTAAACAAGAAGTAAGAGTTAGCAGGAAGGGAGATTGTGTTGGAGGAGGATGTGAAGCGTCATCCAGTGAATGGGAGAGTTATTTGGTCAGGGAAATGTAGTATAGCTGCGTAGTACAGTTGCTCAGTAGCATGGAAGGTCCCTGTGATATTTATGATCATAAAATTAGTAATGAGTGAAGTTAGTGTGCTGTTTTGTTTGTCTCAATCATGTACTCTTACTCAAGGAGAGTCGCAGGGTAGGTGGAGAGTAGGGGGTTATTTTAGGCTAGGAGAATGGAGATAAAGAGGAATGAGGTTGCGGTATGTAAAGAATAGCTAAAATGATGGAACACAGGGAAAAGAGGGAAGTGTGAAAAACAGCAGCAGCAGAAGAAAAGGTGAGAATTCTTTTGAAGATGAAGAATTATTGTCACTAGGAAGGGTGGCACTGGAATGACAGGAGGAAGTCAAGTGGATGCTTGAAATTAGTACTATGGAGGGCACACAGTTTCTAGTATAACTAGTAAGGTCAAGGGCATGATCTTGGGAATACCTTGTGAAAGGTCGCTGCAGGGACCAGGAGTTTCAGGTTGCTGAGTTAGTTGGATGTAGAAACTGAGAGGTTGCATAGGCATTGCAGGAATCATCTACGTGCTTATCGAAATCACAATGAATTATGAATTGAGTCAACTGCATTACCGGCTATTATATCTGTTAGACTGTTACAAGGGATCTTAACTCTACTTCTCATTCTGAGCACTTATTGTTTTTAATAATAATAAGCAATAATCAAGGATAATTCTGTTTTTCTTACTGACTTATATAATTGGCGCTTAAAGGGCAGAATGCATGAATGAATGCTATTACAGGTATGGAACAGATGTAAAAATGATAATGATAATTAATGCCAACGCGGAAGCGGGCGCCACGAAGTTTTTTTTTTTTTTTTTTTTTTTTTTAGTCTGTTGTAGTCGGTGAAGGTTTTCTGGGCCCTAATACAGTGCTTGCCACATGCCCCAAGCATTCACTAAATATTGGTAGATTGAAGGAGTGAAGGCCCACTTCAGTACTCCACTACGCCTGCGCAGAAGCCCTCAGCCCCGGCGCTCTGCGCCTGCGCCTCTGCGCCTCCGCGCCTCTCACGCGCAGGCTCCCTTTCGCGCTCCGCTACAGGAAGTGGGGGCACTGCAGGCCTCCGTAGCCGTGGGCGGGGGCGCCCGCCCACCTTCCCACGCCTGCGGGCCGGCCCTCCGCCGTCCACGTCCAAGACGCGAGCGTGGAGATGGCGGCTCAGAAGATAAACGAAGGCCTGGAGCACCTCGCCAAGGCCGAGAAATAGTGAGTGAGAGATCCTCCCTGGGCCTCTGCGCGGGGCCGGGTCCCTGGCCTTTCCCGGGCCGTTGGGCCGCCCTGCGGGCGGGAGGAAGTGGCGGCGCCGCGGAGCTGTGACCGGGCCCCGCCGCGCCGTCCCCGGAAGGCTGCGGGGACCTCGGCGCCCGGCGGCGACCTCCGGGGCTGAAATCCGGTCGCTGCTCTCCTGGAAGCGTGGTGTGTCTGCCCGGCTCGAGGTCATCTGCGCGTATCATCTGGTCTCGCTTATGCGGAGCTTCACGATCTCTGTCCCCTAAACTGGACGATGAGTTGTGGGGGTTGCCCCGTGCGTCGTTAGAGGGGGTACTGGCCTCTGCCTGCTAGGTGGCCGCAGCGTTGCTCTTCTGTCCGTCCATTTGTCACAACCAGAAATGTCCCCTGGAAGATAAAGTCGCCCTTTTGAGAATTATTGATCTAAAACACTCCTTTGTGTTGGAGAAGAGGCTACAAGTTTACCCAGAAAATTGCTTGGTGCACCGTTGTTATTCCCTATCACACTGTTCGTGGGGGCAAGAACTATGCTTTCTTAGGCTCTTTGCTTGTGTTAGCTTGTGTAGGCACACAACAAATACTTGTTGGAACTGAGCTGATTCTGTTCAGTCAATCCTTTTGATACTTCCCTTTTCCTCAGTTTCATTACTTCAGTGAATTTTTGTTTGGTAGTTAGAAGTTATGAAAAGTCGGTATCGTTCCCTGTGTTAAATGCTTCATGTACCTCAAGGTGAGTTCTCCACAACAACTTAAGTAGAGATTCTTAATTTTACAGAAGAGGAAGTGAGACTATAAAATGGACTCGATCCTTAGTTCTAAGGATTAAATAACCGTTGGACCAGGTTAGATTTATTTTTTGACAAATGTGACTTTGTGGACAGTGGCCTGGGGCCCGGGGATTGAGTATTTTGTCATATTTAATAAGCAAGCATTCAGGAAGTTCTCTCTGTGTTCCTATATCAGCCACTGGGTACACTGGGGTGACCCAATGCAGCCCCTTCTGTAGCAGTTTAGAGCTCACAGGCGGGCACATTGCTAAAGAGATAAACATAAGGTATTGATTCTAAAACCAAATTACATTGGGAGGGGAGTATTTGCTCCACTTATGCAGTGAACAACTGTCTCAATTCTAACACTACCTGGAGATAGCATAGATTCCATAGATTAAGGGTTCAATCCTTTAAAATTGCCCCCACTCACTTCAGATGTCAATCACAAGTCAGAGGTTCCTAGGTTACTGACAACATCTGTTTGATTTATTTGACAGTGAATTTATTTAGGTAGCAGCCCACAGAACTCTGAGAAACACATTTACCATTTTATTAAAGGATGTGATAAAGCATATGGGTTAATAGCCAACTGAATATAAGGCAAGGACTAGGGGAATTCTGCGTGCAGAAGCTTCCCTCCCTGTGGAGTTAGAGTGCGTTATATCTGTGTTCACCAACCTCTAAGCTGCCATTAAGATTTTATGACGCTGCCTTCAGCTGGTCATGATCAATTAATAACCCATTTCTAGTCTCTCTCCCCTTTTCTGGAGGCTGAGGCTAAAAATTTCAAGCTTCACATCATGACTTGGTCATTCTGGTGACCACTCCACAGTAGGCGCCTGCCAGTGTTACCTCATTAAAATAAAAGATGCTCTGTTAGCTATATTTATTGTGATGATATTTTGCAATACATACAGATCCCAAGTCATTATGTTGAGCACTTGAAACTACTAAAATGTTATAACATTGATATAAACGTATATAGAAATGTTATGTAGTACAATGTTAATTATACCTTCAAAAAAAAAAAAAAAAAAAAAGATTCCCCCAGTGCTGTCATCACATAGGAAGTTATAAGGCTTTTGGGAGGAGCCCTGTAGGAATGTGGAACAGAGACCAGTATGTATTTTACATTCTTTCACAGGGATTAAATGTTAGAATGGAATATACAGTGTCTTCAGTGGAGATACAAGTAAGGAAAAGTTGTATCTGCGGGGTGGAGGGAACAGAGCTGAAACAGTGACTTTTCCATGACTCTCCTGAATGAAAGTATAAGTGCAAGTATAAGCAGGACTGGGTCACATTTTCCAGATCGAGTTGACAAGCTTTAATGATTTGACTGGCTATAGGAGGAAAGGCTTGATTTTTAGGTTTCTGATTTGGGAGATGGAGTGGAGGAAGAGACCTTCAGCCAAGATGGGGTACTGATGAAGGCACATGATGATGGATGGGTAGGGCTGGAGTGTTGCTGAATTCAGGTTTGAATTTGTTATGTTTGAAGGGCCTCTAGACAGAATTGTCAGTAGGTGGGCCAAGAGTTCAGGCGAGAAGATTTTGATTTCCTTCTTTTTTCTACTGAAAATGTGGTTCAGTATTACCAAGTCGTTTTGTAATTATAATTAATCCCGCAAACAGATTGTGGTTTGTGAGTTGTTTTGTTTGTTTGGGCCAGTGGAAACTGATCAAACTATTTTCTCAATAGAATTTTCTTTATTGACTCTTGACAAAAATAGTTAAAAAAAAACCCTAATGGCCTTTAAACCTATATTGAGAATGCCTTCTCTCTTCCTAATCAGAGGTGTTTAGTTGAGTGGGGATGATTTGCTATATTTTTAAATCTTTGACTCTGCACACCTGTAGCACATACGGTGATCAAATTAGTGTATCTTGTTTGGTGGGATTTTAAAAATTCTGTTAATTATACAGTATATATTGAATGCTTTGGAGTAGGAGTGTTTGCTGTATTGAACTGCGTCTGTTTTGTGGATTAGACACTGAAATTTAAGGATTTTATTTTTCTGAGCAATAAAATTCTTGGTAAGCTTGAAAAATTGTGTAAGTAAATTTTAATTGGGAGAAAATATGTTCCTTAAAAGTTAGGGTCTCTGGACAATTCAGACAGTTATCACTGTATGTACTTCTGATAGCCCTTGCAGATTTCCTCTTTTTCAGTTCGGGAGCTTGCCAGTTCTTTGAAGCCAGCAGACTTTCACTAATTGATTTAAAATTTAAGATGTGTGTTTACTTAGTAGTACTTTTGCACATTCAAGTTTGACAGTCCTGACTTAGTTTAAACTGGAATTTAAGGCTGGAAATTGTTTTGACATTAAAAAAATAAATATTACCGAAAGGACACATAAGATAAGGACTTAAGGGCCTCCCTGGTGGCACAGGCGATTGAGCGCCACACTGTGAAGCTGTCCGCAGCCTGTGCAGCGCCAGCTGGCAAGAATCCTACATGGCGGCAGACCTCTCCTGTCTTGCCTGCTGCTCCCCTCCGCAGTGTATTTCATCAGTCTGCCTGTTCTGTTCCCCGCTCTATCTTTGGTGAATCCTCTCATCCTCCCGCAGATCTGACCTGTACTCTGGTTCTTGTATAATAAATAAATCTTTAAAAAAAAAAATAAGGTAAGTACTTAAAATTGTCTTGCAGTTTGGATCTTAGAAGTCATGTATATCTGTTGTTTACAACTTCCTTGTCTTTCTGATTTCCCGCAGTGGTGATTAATGACTCTCAGCTTCTTTTGCTGACTCCCTCTGTACCGTGTCTTTCTATCCTTAGTCTTTCTGATCTCTCTACAATTCTTGGAGTATACTGTTAACTCTTCAGTGTGTGTCTTCCCTCTCCTGAATTTCAGGAACTAAGTGCGACAGACTTAGTTAACTTTGTCTTAAATAGTGGATCTTTAGAACCTATTGATTTGCATTTTTCCTTAATTTGACTTTGTTACATCCAGTCTTTTTCATGCTGCCATATATATATTCCCCATATTTTCATGTATTTACATGGTCTCACCAATCCAACAGCATATTTGATGCATTGCTTCAAGGGCGACAAGCTTTTATGTGCTTCAGGGCTTGTTAAAGATGGATTGTTGCTCCTGCCAGAATTTCTGGTTCTGTATGTCTGGCACATTTCCAGGTAATGCTGCTACTTGCCTCTCTGATGACCATGCATTGAAAACCTCTGCCCAATCTGGGTTTTATGCAGATATATCAATAGGAGGAAAACCATGCCTATGACAGTGGGAAGGAGAGTAGAGGTTGAAATTATTTTGGATGGAGGTGGATGAGATGGGGACTGAGGGTCTGATGACTCTCCATCCCCCATCTTTTCTTAATAACCTACAAGGTCATTACAGTCATGACTACTGACTACTAAATGTGGTTGGTAACTTCTGTTAAATGTGTCTTCTTTTCATTTTAGCTTGAAAACTGGTTTTTTAAAATGGAAGCCAGATTATGACAGTGCTGCCTCTGAATATGGAAAAGCAGGTATGTATGTGGGCTCTAGCCCTGTCACTTCAATGTGTAGTCTTAGAGGAGGCTGATAACTTCATCTTGCTCTTAATGCTTCCTATCCTATTGTAACAGTTGGGAAAAAAAGAAAGAAAAAAAGAGCCAGCCCAAGCCCTTGCATTTTTCCTACTTGCTCTCTTCAGGTGTGTTGAGGGTTGAGTTAGCAGTCTACTGCTCCCTGTGTTGTGACAGTAGACATGGGTGTGGTGTGCTGCTGCAGATTTTAGCATCATTTATATATATATTTGAAATTTAGAAGTTGTGTATTACTACAGGGGTTATACCATATTCCTTATTATACTCATTATTATTGAATTTTTTTTTGTGAACCTTTTTAAAAAACCTAGCCTTTATTTTAAACAGATCTGCAAATTATGTTTAAGTTGGCATGTGGTTTTTTGAGCATAACTATTACACTGATAAATGTACCAGGTGTTAAGTGATATAAATATTTTTAATAAATTTACCTGTATTTAAGATAAAAGTGATTTGAATTGTGGAGTGATAGCTTTCAACTTGTTCACTGTTATTGCAGGTATAGAGCATAATTCACCATTGAAGTACCCTGAACACAAGTTTGCAGTTGTGTTTCAGCAATACCAATAGCCCAAGTAGATCAGATTTGATATACTAGCATATCTTTAACAAAAGATAAAGTGCTTTTGACAAACTTTACTTTTATGTAGCATCAAATTAAAAAGAACTGCGATAAATTGAAAATAAAATAGGGGGCCTCCCTGGTGGTATAAGGGGTTAAGTCTCAGCACTGTCAAGCTGTATGCAGCCACTGCAGTATGATCCCCAGCCAGGGAGATAACCCATATGGCACAGCAGACTTCTCCTGAATGCCCGCTGCTCCCCTCAGCAGTGCATTTCAGGATAGATTTTTTTCGTTTGTTTATTTTCTTTAAGGGGTTATAGAAAATGTATTTAATCAATAAATTTTTGAAAAGGTAAAATAGAAATCCAGGGATGAAAATGTTTCAGTAGTCTGTTTACTTGTATTTTATTAAAGAGAATTTAAGAATATATTTTTAATAAATATTTTTTTAAAGCAGTGTCCTTCTTACTTATTTGTAAGCAACTTTTGGTAAGTTTTCCAAAATGTGCAGGATCATATTTTCGGACATCTCCTAATTGTTTTGTTGGAATGAGTACACACCAGCAACCATAATATTTTGCTTCTTTTGGACAGTGACATCTTTTTTCATAGAAACTTGGGCAATGTAAAAGCTTTATTTTAAAAAAAATCTATTGTGTTTTAGACATTTATTTAAAGTTCGTGCTTTTCAAAAAGGTTCTTAGTAAAATATTTAATGTATTTATTGGTCTTTGGTTGTAAGATAATTTAAAAGATGCAATAAGCTGTGAATAATGGACTGTTTTTATTATTGTTTGTAAAACTGGTGAAGTAAGGTACTGTCTTGTGTGATAGTTCCTGCTACTTGGGATAATTGTATTGATTTTATTTTCTTGAAGCTTATATGTTGATGTTAGAAGGACTTCTTGTTTTTGAGTGGAAGTAGCACTGATTTATTTCCAATAACTTACAATTAAAAAAAGACTTGAAAATACTTCCAAGTTTTTGATAACTGAAACAGTTGTAGGAAAAATGCTATACAGAAAAGTAGTTTTTTATAGGTATGTGAAAATTCCTAAGTGATATTTAACTAAGTTAATATATTTTCTAATATTACACAACAATGCAGATTTTGGTAATGATTCATTTAAGATGTTTTTAATGATCAAAATAGAAAGTATGTTTTTTGTTCTGTTTCAGCTGTTGCTTTTAAAAATGCCAAACAGTTTGAACAAGCAAAAGATGCCTGCCTGAGAGAAGCTGTTGCTCATGAGAATAATAGGGCGTATCTTTTTCAGCCTTTGTAAAGGAATTCAACAGTTTAATGATTTTGATAGAAACACATTATTTTTTCTTGTTAGACATTTGCCGCGTGTGGACTACAATGCTATTAAATCAGAAAGTGTTAAGAAGAATTCTGCATTTTTAACTCTAGGGGAGCTTTTATGAGACTTTTGATCATAAGGTCCACAGTTTTGCAACACTATATTTGGGAATTTATTTCTATTGTTTCTGCATTTTCTTGGTGATGGCTTTTATTTAGGATAAAGTGAGGACAATCTACAGACAGGTGTTAAGGATTAAAGAAGTACACAGGTGTTGGAAATATAGAAATCATGTTAGTATTTTAGAGTCTTCCTTAGGTATTCGAACTATGATTTACAAATAGTTTAAAGTGATATATTTTCTTGGGGTATTTTAAAACTTGTCAGCTAAAAAATGTTTATTTCACTTTCCAAATTAGAGTTGTAATCTTACGTTTTAGTAAAACACATCAGATTAATGCATAATGAAATTAGTTGAAAGTGTGTTGTATTTTGATAGTATTTTTGTGAATTGTATAGTTTGAAGAGACATCAACAGGCATTAAATTACTTCTTTACCTGTTTGTAGGATTTGTCTTTTGGAACCAAGTGGGGCAGTGACTTACTTAATTTTGTCTTAAATAGTAATCTTTAGAACCTATTGATTTGTTTTTTTTCCTTAATTTTGACTTCGTTACATCTAATCAGTCTTTTTCATGCTGCCAAGTAAGTAAATATTCCCTATATTTTCATGTATTTACAGAATACTCTTTTAAATGTTGCTGTTTTGCTTAAGTTATAAATTCATAAATAATGATTCTGTATTAATTTAAATGTAATAGTCATTTCTTTTTGTTTTAGTCTTTTTTTGAACCTTAAAAACTAAGTCATTTCTAAGATAGTGTTTAAGTTAAACTTACAGTAAATTTTGGGGGTTATTTTGTTCAGTAACCTGTGAAAAAACAAGTAAGTTAGACTCTCTTTTCCCCTTTTTCTTAATAGTTCCCTGTGGAGAGAAACAGGAAGCTTTCTCCTTACATGGAGGGTACTTAATTTGTTTCAATACATGAATTTAAGTTTGTCAAGTAGAAAGATTTAACCTTTCTGAGCCTTACTTAAATTTGCATCTGTAAATAAAGTCCCTTTAACTCAGATGTTTATGTTTCTAAGACATTATTGCCCACAAAAGTACAGGGAAGAAAAATTATATTGTGTGGTAGTACAGGCTGAAGTAATATATGGAGCCTGAACCAGTTTTAGTTGCTTTAACTTCCACTATGTGTGGTAGAAAGTTTTTCTTCCCCCTGTATCTTTAAGAACTCATCCAGGAAATTATATTCTCTTTGCAGAGCTTATGAGCAAGCCGGCATGATGTTGAAGGTCAGTAATGTGTTCCAGCTGTTCCATAGGTAAAATGAATTGACTACATGGTGAACTTAAATTTCTCTTGAGATTGAAAAGTCTCCTTGTTGTAAGGTTAGGGATCCTTAGTTAAGATTTCTCATCCAAAGTAATGCTTATTGGACCTGTGGGGTACATTTGTGTATCTGAAGATATGGAGTTTTATTTATTTATTTTTAAAGATTTATTTATTTATTTATACAAGCACTGGGTACAGTCAGAAGCGTGGGAGAGTGAAAGAAGTCACCAGAGCCAGAGCAGGGAACAGAATAGGCAGACCAACAAGTACACTGCTGAGGGGAGCAGTGGGCGGCAGAAGAGGTCTGCGTGCCATGTGGGACCCTTGCCGGTGGCTGGGGATCGAACTGGCGCAGAGCTTGCGGGCAGCTTCGCAACCCAGCGCTCAACCGCTGTGCCCCCAGGGAGGCCCAGATATGGGATTTTAAAAGTGTAATTTAAGAGGGCCTCCCCTGGGGGCGCAGCTGTTGAGCGCTGGGTTGCGAGGCTGCCCACAGCCTCTGCAGCGCCAGTTCAATCCCTGGCCGGTGAGGGTCCCACAAAAAAAGTATAATTTAAGAGAGAATGTTTTAGAGGGAACTCTGGAATGTTGTAAGCCTTGTAACTAGGAGAGAGTACCACTAAACGGTGAACTGTGTGGGAGGTTACTCTTTGGATTTTAGGACTTTTTAATGTAGTGAAAACTTATAAATATACATTTGATACTACTGATGGGTTATAAAAAGGACTTATATAAATCTGTCAGTGGGCATCAAAAAGCATCAGACTTAAACTTTGCTATTTAACTCTGATTTTCTTTGAATGGAATATTTGGCTAATGTGCCTATGCCACTTTTCATATTTCTGCTTAAAATCAGGTTGGAAATTAATATTTTGTTTTGTTGAGACAGACATTTTATGACACTGACTCTGAAAGTATGCCAAGTGGCAACTCAAATTTTGTTTTTATGTTCTCTAGTATGTTAAAAGCTGTTTTGAATTGTTATAAAGATTTATTTTAAGAACTTACATTTTAGTACATGTTTTATTTTTAGTTTCTATGACTTTCATAATTTTACTGAATTTTTAAGTGAATACATACTCATTATAGAACATTTAGAAACACTGGGAAGATTATAGAATGTTAATAACATGTTTAATGTTTTCCACCCAGTTAGTTTACTGTACACATACAATTTCTTATATAGTCTGTCTGTATGTCTGTCTGTCTGTCTGTCTCTCTCTCGCTCTCACATAATGCTCTATGATGTGGTTTTTGGAGTCAGTGGGTTTGGCTGGGTCCTTGGGTTCACTCTGGGAAAGGTTTCACCAGAGCTCCCCTTTCAGCGGCATGTAGCAAGTTTCTCCATGAGACAGAGACGTTAGTTATATTTAAAGAGCAGGTTTATTAGGGAAAGGGGTCAGAAGAATGAAGGACACTTGCATGACACAAGCGGGCAGAAAGAGCTGCCCCGAAAGGGAGAGGTTTGCTGAGAGAGGCCGCAGGCCGCCTTGAGGAGAGCTGCCTCTGCTAGGAGAGGTCAGTGAAGTACCAGCATGGTGCAGCTCCCGGGCAGGCAGGAAGCTGCTGCCCTGCAGAGGGAAAGAGTTGGAGAAAAGAAGCACCTGCATAGTCAGAGGTAGTCAGAAGGACTGCTGCCCGGTGCCAGTGCAGGAGACCGCACTGATACAGTCTTCTTTTTGGAAGGGGCTCACCCCTTCATGGAGTAGCCTGTTTGTTGCTGATTTTGGATAACTGCAGAATCCTAAAGGAACTGGAGATTTCAGAGTGGGCCCAATCTCTATGTCTTTACCTTTGGGTCTGTGCTCCAGACACTCCCTACAGCAGTCTGAAACCTGCTTGGGCCTTATGCCTTGTGATAAGGCACTGGCACCTAAGGATCTTGATCTCTATAACTGGGTTAATGGTGATGTTAATCCCCTCTACCCTCACCTCTTTGTGTGAGTCAGGTTTTAGTTTTGTGATGACTCCTTTTGGTTTTCTATTCTTTCCTCCATTACTCTGCACATAATTGTGTATCTTACTGTTAAATATTAAACATTTAACTTTCAATGAAGATTTTCTAATGTCATTTAAAAAATTCTTTGTTAATATATGTCAAGGACTTTAAGAGTTTTTATAGCCTTTAACCCAGGAATTCCAATTTTGTGAATTTATCATAAAGTAAAATATAGCATAGATTTAAACATAAGACTTTTCGTGCGGCAATGTTTAAAAAGAAGGCAGCTATCTACACTTTTACTAACAGAAAGAAGGCAGCTATATACTTTTAGAAAGAAGGCAGCTAGCTACACTTTTATGTAACTATAGTGATAAATCTTCTCTGATTGAAACATAAACCAAATTGATATTTGGTGATACTAATCAGGTTATTGGAAGCAATTCCATAGCAACTAGAACATTTCTATTTGCTTAAAGAACCAGGTGTCTGCCCTGGCCCTCTTTCATACTTTCCCCCAAGAACTAGGGAACTCTCAGGTGGGTTGCTGTTATTGTCTTGGTAGACTTTGGCGTGTTATTGGGATGTACTATCTTAATATGCTAGAAATGCTAGAACACTATAAAATTCTCAGACTCACCTTATTCTAACAGCCGTATTAATATAATATATGAGTCTTTTTATCAACAGTTACTATGCTGATGTTTCTTTTGCTGTAGTATATTTGATTTGAGAATTTTTTTTAAAGATTTATTTATACAAGAACTGGGGTATATAGGTCAGGGGCATGGGAGGGTGAGAGAATTCACCAGAGAGAGCAGGGGGAGCAGAACAGGCAGATGGATGGAGGACACTGCTGAGGGGAGCAGCAGGTGAGGCAGGAGAGGTCTGCCACGCCATGTGGGTTTCTCCCTGGCTGGCCAGGAATCGGACCCCCGCTGTAGAGGCTGTGGACAGCTTCACAGCGCAGCGCTCAACCTGCTGCACCACCGGGGAGGCCCTGATTTGAGAATTTGAAAGGTTTACTTCTTTGGATGAAAGGGAAGTAAACCTATTGGACAGGTAAAAGGACAAAGGAAAATGCCTCTTGGCATGTGCTGGCATATAAATTAAACATCTTGGACAGTCCTGGGCAACAATGGGTGTCTAACCTGTATGGGCCACAGTTAATTCTGTGTCATACACACCTTCATGTTCATCCCCCAGCCATGCTTAGCCAGTAACAGTTTGTAGCTGGAGGCACAAGGAAGACCTGGGGACTTTGAGATCAACCTTTGAGATCTGTCATTTTACAGCTGTATAATTTCATATCCTGTTTGGGCCACAGAAGTGATAATGCAACTAAGTACACAAGCCACTGAAAGTAGGCATATTTAAATTTTCTCCATAATTTTGCTGTGCTGGAACATAGTAAAGAGTCTATAAGAGTGTAACTTTGAAGTAGGCTGCCTATTGGTTTTTATGGGAAGGTATCATATTATGATTGGGCCTTTGCTATTCACTATCATGCTAGATTTAATGCAACAGCAAGGAGCTTAATTTTTGAGCATATGATTTAAATGGTACTTCATATTACTTTCTCATAGTTATTGCTCTTTATGTCTCATCTACTAGAGCAAAACTTATGGACAGTGGCCTGTGTTATGTTTCCTTTTATCCCCCCCCCAAAAAAAAAAGTCTTTTGCATATTGTGGATGCTCAGTGTATATTTGTTTTTAATTAGAGGATAGGTGAATTAGGGGAAGAAATAATCTGTAAAGGGTACAGTGACCCTCAGGACTAAAGTGGGTGAAGTAAATTTTGTTGGATTTACCTTTCCTTCCTTTCAATCATTCTTAAGCATATACTATAGATTTCCTTATTCTTTCATTGGCCTATGATTTCTATAACAAAAGATTTTTCACAGGGTTTTGGGGATGTATTAACTGATATCATTCCACTTGAATTTGGTAGCAATTTTATTTTGTGTATCTTTCAAACTGTTTTGTTATTCTCCATAGATAAGTAATAAAAAGTTAATATCTTGAAGTTGATAAAAATGATAACATAGTTTTGTATTCAAATGAATTTTTCAACTAAATGAGGGGCTGAATAGGCAGATTTGAAAACAACCCATGAAATAGCACTTGGAGCCTCCTTTGATATACAGCACTTCAATTCTACATAGATAATGCCTATATACTTTACATCTAAGTTCCAGGTGATTTTTTTTTTTTCAGGTTAAAATTTTTGATTTGGAGGTAGTAGATACTAGTACCACATGATGCTGAGATTTATGGTATAATGATAAGATACAGAGTTTTTCTGTGGTTGATGCAATACAGCATGGAAAAGGGATGCAACTTGGAAGAAGCCAAAGTAGAGGGGAATGACTGAAATGAAGGGGACAGGCTAGATGTGCCAGGGAGTAGGGAGTGGGGGGAAATACCACCATTTCCAGGAGGTTTAATGGGGTGAGATACAGCTGAGGCCCATTCTCTTATTGTCCCGTGGACATGGAAACTTGCTGATACCATAGCTTTTGATACATATATGTATGTGCACACGCGCGTGCACGCACACACACACACACTCTTTAGGAAGGTATAAAAAACAGAACTTTTGCAAAAGTATCTGACTTTAAAATACTAGTTCAAGCAAGATGTACTTGGAAATGAAATACAGCCCTTGGGCTACCTACAGATTTGCAGCGTTTGACATAGATAGACCTCATATGGTAGGGAGTCAGTAAATGTTTGAAGAATTGTAAATGATTAAAAAGAGTAATAAGTAAGTTTGTACTATTTGTATAGTTTTCCTGAAGCTGAAATCATGATGAACTCTGTAGAAATAAACTGATAATAGTTTTGATTTGGCTAACGAAGGTTGATGGGGAAAATAACTATGTGAAGGCATTTCATTTTAGATATATTTATTGTTGTAAAATATTTTGAATCATTTACTTTCATGAATTAGGGATAGAATCATTAAGTTTCAGATTGTTAACTCCATTTCTAAAGTTTGTACATTTGCTGATCTGTGCTATATCCCTTGCCTACAGGAGATGCAGAAACTCCCAGAGGCTGTTCAGCTGATTGAGAAAGCCAGCATGATGTATTTAGAAAATGGCACCCCGGACACAGCAGCGATGGCATTGGAGCGAGCTGGAAAGTGAGTGTGGGACACAAGTCTCTGTATGGAGGTCATTCTCTTTTTATTATAAAGTCCTGTGAAAAACAAGTGTTTTTTCCCTCATATAAGTCAAATTTTCTTGTCTAATTTAGGCTTATAGAAAATGTAGATCCAGAAAAGGCTGTACAGTTGTATCAACAGACAGCTAATGTGTTTGAAGTAAGTTTGATTTTTATTTTTTCCCAAAGTGCTTAAAATTTTAGATTCATAATATGTAGGAAAATAGAGAGAAATACAGTGGCTACTTTTTAAAACTTTTCCATGCTCTCAACTGAACTCTATTTCTAATATCTTTCTCTTGGAGTAATGAATTGGGCCAGCATCTTTGGTGGCTCTTTCCCTAATCATGTTCTGTTACTTTTGGGAAAAAAGATTTCTGTATCAAAACAGCCAATACTCCCTTCTCTTTGATTTCTTTAGAATGAGGAACGTTTGCGACAGGCAGTTGAATTACTAGGAAAAGCCTCCAGACTGCTAGTTCGAGGACGCAGGTAAGTCTTCTAAAACTGTCCATATGTGTCTGTGTGTATGTGCCTTCAGGCCACAGCTAGAGTAATTTGGGGAATGTCTTATTAATCTTTCTCATGCAAGCCATGGATTTGTCAGCCTATCAGTAGAAAAAATGAAGTCTGTTAGATGGCACATTTGAATTAAATATTATTAAAATACTGTTTTTCTAATGTATAATTCCAAAATTTATCATGGATTTTGCTTTTATTTTTGAGACCCGGCTCAGCATCATGAGAGAGAGCAGTTTCTTGTGTTGTGTTGATGTGTTTAAAAGGTGGATAAATCTAGGGCAACCATAAAACCTTTTATTTAGCTTGCAAATTTATTTTATTGCTTTTTTACTTTTTAGTAAAAATGCACTAAAAATGATAGCATTTTAAGCAGTGTTTGATCAAAATTGGAAAAATTTTTCAGTTGTAGCAGTATAAAATTGCTTTATTTAAGGAATTTGAGAATTGACAAGTATCACTGAGTATGTGTGGTATGAAAGCATTAAAAGCCAAATGCCAAAAAAAGCTGCCACAGTACTTCTAGGAGGAATTTAAGCAGTACAGACTAAGAAAAGCATGAGAATCTGTACTAACGAAAAGAGAGTTGAGGATTGATATAAGGTGGTAGAAAGAATAGCAGTAGCTTGTGGTCCTCTTCCTCCTTGGACACAGTGTACCAGGATCACACAAAGTTGTTGCCCTTGGGACAGAACTGAGGATTTGGCAATTGTCTCCACAAGGAGATGAGACAGAGGCCACCAGAAAAGGGAGGAAAGCCCAAGAAACAGTCTTGCATAAACAGGAATAATACCAGGGCACTGGGAGAGGCATCGTGGAATCTTCCACTGTGTCTGTATCGCATCTCTTCTTTATCTACTCATCTGTGTGGGGACTTGGGTTGTTTCCATAGCTTGGCTACTGTAAATATGCTGCAGTGAACAGAGTGGATATATCCCTTTAAACTAGTATTTTTGTATTCTTTTCCTAGGGATCCAGTAATCCCTTTCCTAGGCATTACTGTATTGTATGATACATCTAGACACAAACAAACCAGAATAAGCTGTTGAAATTTAGCTACAGAAATGATGTAATAACCATAAGGGGGTGGGGTGGGGTGGAGGTGTGGAAAGCAAAGTGTGGAGGGACCCAGTGGACTATGGTAGGGGATTATTGGGGCTTTGGTGGGTGGGGCATGATAACATACGTTTGAAGACTTGTGAACTGTGCCCCTAAAACATGTACAGTGTTGTAAACCAATGTCATCACAGTAAACATAATAAAAACATTTTAAAAATAGTCAAAGATAATTGAGACCATTTCTTTGATATTTGAATATCTTGAACCTTTACTTTGATTATAATCTCAAATTGAGGCTATCAATTGCCTTAAAGAACAAAAACAGGTAATTTTATACTTTATGCAAATAGCATCTACTAAAGAATGACATGAAATTTAAATTTTTTTGTTATATTTAGTTAAATGGTTACCTCATATAGTTAGTTAACACAAGACTAAGATTTGATCCTAACTGAACAGTATTTTAGTTTGTATCTTAGTATAGCAAAATCAAATTGTCATTTAGTACATAGATATTTGTCTCCTGCTCTTCCTCCTTTCTGAGCCATTAAGTCACAGGATTTAGATTTCATGTAGGTAGTTGCTTGGGGGAGGCCTTAAGTCAGTCCTGGAGCAGTGTTCCCTTCTGGGAAAGACCTTTCTAGGCAATTGATAGACTTATTGGTGAGACTTAAGTTCCTGTGCCTTCCAGAAAAGATCTAAGGTAGCTGAGCAGATTGGTACCCTTCGTAGTTGGTTCTTAGTGACCCATCAGATCCACACAGCCTTCCTAGAGCTGTGCTGTGATTCCCTAGTAGGAAGAGATTCTAATTTCCATTTCAATGCCACCCTTTACCTGCCCTCCCCACCCTCCTCATCCCTACTTCTAAGACTCACTTAAAGAAAAGTACTTGCCACCAATTGACAGTCACTACATGGAATTGCTGGGAAAGCTAGATGTGTGTGTAGCAGGAGGGGGAGACTATTTAGCATAGTCATTGGAGTTGAAGACTTAATTGGGACCAGTGGAAGAGTTTTGTGTCCTGAGGAAGGTGTTCCCTGACTGCTGGCATGAGTGAGGTCCTGTGACATCTCCTATCCTGTGCCCATAGTTTTTTGTGTGATTTACATTTTGTTTCATTTTTTAATTACCGGAAAAGCAATTTATTCTCTTTTTTCTGTAACCAAATATATTTTGTTTTGTTAGGACTATTAAGCATTTCCTCTGGGTTTCATTATAGTAAGTAATGAAATGCTTCCTGGATATGTGTGAAAATAGATTGACTTATATATGTCTATTTCATGGAATCAGAGTTGATTGGATTTTTTATTTTTATTTTTTTGCTACAAACCCATATAAATATACAGTACTTTATAATAGGTGGCTGTTTTGTTAGGCAGCTAATTAGTTCATGGAAATATTCTTTTTATGCCATGGAAATGAATGATTCATTTAGCCTTAGTATATGAAAGTTTGAACTACTGAAAGTCCTACTAGAATCTGGACGTGCCTCACAGAATGTTCCACTATAATTTATTTTATAAAATAGAATCTGTGATAAATTCGTGGTCACAATTACAAATGATAAAAATATATGTAAGCCCCCATATTATTTTTCTATTTCTGCACAACAAATAACCACAAATATGGTGGTTTACAACAGTCACCTGTTGCTTGGTCCTCTCCTCAGGTTTCTCCAGTTTGGAATCATGGGTGGGGCTGCCATCTCATTCCAGCTCCTGACTGTAGGCAAGGTTCCTTTCATTGCTGCTCTGGGACACACGTCTGTGTTCTGTGTTTCCTTGTTGGATGTCAGCCAGGACCGCTGTCAGCTCCAGAAGTGCCTGCAGTTCCTCTGTGCCTTCTGGGTGCCTTCAGCATGGTAATTTGCTGCTGCTTCCAGGTTGGCAAGAACAGAATGGTGTCTATTGACTCCATCTCTGTTCCTTTAAGGGCATGCCTAATTAAGTCAGGCCCATTACTTGATTTTTCTTTGATTCAATTGATTATAGTATCCTACTCATAGGTACAAGTCCCATCATATTTCACAGCTGTGCCTGCATTCAAGGGGAGATTATATACAATAAGTGTATATGAGGAACAGACACATCGGGTACATTCTTAGAGTTCTGCTACCCTGTCCTATTTATAAACTAACTTTATTCCCCAAAACGTAGCTGGTTGGTCTTTGCAAATTGCCACATGTGTTTCCGCAATGAATGTTCTTTTATGAGGCTGTAATTTGCCAGGACAGAGCCCACAATAATTCAGTTTAATGTATAACATGAGTTAAACTAAGCATGAGAGAGAGAGAGAGAGAGAGAGAGAGAGAGTGTGTATGTGTGTGTATCTGTCTGTCTTACCTATACAGATACTTTGATTGTTAATATATAGGGAAACAGTATAACAATTTTTTTTTTTTTAATTTGGATCATAGCATACCTCTTCTGTATCCTAACAGTGCAAACTACTTACCCTTTTTTTACTGATGGGATGAGAGACATAGGGAAGACTGCTAAGTTTATCCAGTTACAAGTTAGGTGATAGGAATTCCTGGATTCAGAGTTACTACAACTTCACAGGGAGATGAGGGCCTGACCTCACATAACATGGGATCATGTCTGGGGATGTAAGAAAGGGGTAGGGCCTTGGAGGAAAGGGGAACATTTTTGGTGATTCTTTTCCTCTTCTGCCATCTGAGTGGGATAAATAATAAGGAAAATGTGTGAGAGCAGACTGAAAAAATGAATAAGTGGATATTGAAGATGTAAGGTGTCAGGAAATGACTTCTGGGCTATTCACCTGTCTGTCCACTGCTGCCCTTCCTGGCATCAGGGATGTGTTGGGGCTCACAGAGGCAGGAAACATGGAGTATATGACTAAGGACAGAGAAGGAGAAGTAGTTCTTCAGCAAGGGGGCATTGTTTTTAGAGCATCTGGATGGCCTTTTAGTGGAAAGAAAGAAATTGGAGATGAATCAGGGATTGTCTAACATATTTCATAGATAGATTTGATAGATACTTGTTAATGGGTGATCCTTGCCAGACTTAAAACTCCCCACTTGAAGTGATCTTTCCTTAATTGCTTTCGCTTTGTCTGCAGGAATAATGGAGCATGGTCTCGCTCATTGCAGGAATTTAGAAAACCTAAATAAGAGACCAGGAAAAAGACTAATCAATACAAAGTAATAATCAAAATCAACAAGCAACTATAAACCAGAGACACACTGTGGCGGGGGGAGAAGGGAGGGGCGGGGAGAGGAAGAACTAGAGTCAAAATAAAGGGGGGGGGTGCAATTGTATGGGGAATATAACCAAAATGAAAATGCATACATTGTGCAAAGATGAAAAATAATGTAAGAGCTATATAAAATAAAGTATTTAAAAAAATAAAAGACAAGTCAGATGAGCAAAGCTTATGGAAATGTGAAGCAGTTGCTAAAGGCTTGATGTTTCCTTTATTTCTAAAATATGTGATGTCAAGTATATTACAAAAGTTACCTCTGCTGTGGAATATTTACACCTGCCTTGTTTTACATTTCTTTGTTTCGTCTTTAGGTTTGATGAGGCGGCACTCTCTATTCAGAAAGAAAAAAATATATATAAAGAAATTGAAAATTATCCAACTTGTTATAAGGTATTCTTTGAAAGTGCTTATTTTTGTTTTTACATTAGATAATTTTTCATATTGGTGTCATGTACCTCAGTCCAGGTCCCATGAATATTTGTGTATATTTTAAAATAATACATATGGTCCTATATTTTTGGTTAAGATAGAATGAACAGACTATAGCCTAGTCTGATCACAACTAAAAATTTTGGACAAAGTGCAAACAGCAATTTCTCATGGACTCTGAAAAGTAACTAAAATGAGGACGACTGTGCAGAGGAGTAAGTACTTGGAGAAGCAACCAATATGGGAGTTGATTTCCAGGGTTTTCCCTCTTTTGTCTTGCAACATTGCCTTGAGAGAAGCCTCCTGTGTGTGCAGTACAGGTCCAGTAGGTAAAGTCCCACTGAATCCCATCTGCCCCATCTTTCTAACCAGACGAACTAGAAGAATTTTCCTTTTCTTTTCCTCTGCTTTTCTGTGATGAGCCCCTGTGATGGATCTTCAGCTTTGTGGGGTGCAGATAGAACACCAAAGAAACCCAGTCTCTAGCCAGCAGACCTGGGAAGACCAGCTAAGAGAGTAAGGAGAAAGTCCCACAAAGGAGAGTGGGGAAGGGAATTCCCTGAGCACATGTGTGCACTATCAAAAGTTGTAGATTTATTTTAGCTTTGCGTGTTTGGGACACACCCAGAATGGCAGAGCATAGGCTTTGAAATAAGATTAAATTACTGTGCAGGGCTTCTGCATGGGGCAGAGCCAGAACAGCAGAGAGAGGGACTAGACTCAAGTCCTGTCCACCCAAAGCAGACAACCAGCAGTCTGAGCCTAAATGGGGCCAGTGCCTGCTGAAAACATCCACACTCTACTGAGAATTAATGGAAGGTTTACGCAGCGTAAGAGTGTCTGGGGTACAATCTCTTAAGTGCTCGCATAGGAAGAACCAGGAAAACATGACCAGGTTGTAGCCACATAATTTGTATTTAAATGAAAGGATAAATATGTATATTATCGTCAAAACATTCAAAAATCAGTAACAAGAAATCTTTGTTAGAAAGCCCTTTCAGATGAATTAAAAAATTAGTAAATTCATGATGGTGATATGTGCTAACAGGAAAATAGAGGTGATACTTTTGTAAATTATAATATTCTCTTAAACATCAGGGAAAAACAGTGTATACATGCAGTAACCCAACAAAAGCATCTCAGATTAGTGTTGTCCAGTGAAAATGCAGTGTAAGCCACAAATGGGAGTCACATAGGAATTTCAAGTTTTCTAGTTCCATGTTTAACAAGTGAAATTAATTTTAGTGATTTATCCAATATATTATACATATCCAAAGTTATGTATCTCCAGAATGTTATTTTAAGAGCTAATCAATAATTATTCATGTGATTTTTAAATTTCCAGTTTGTTTTTACTAAGACTGAAATCTGATGTGTATTTTACATTTAATTAATTAATTAATTTATTTATTTTTAAAGTTGATTTATTTATGCATACAAGAGCTGGAGTTTAGGCCAGAGGTGTGGGCTGTGACAGGATTCACCAGAGACGTAGGTGGGGAACAGAACAGGCAGATTGACCCAAGTACACTGCTGAGGGGAGCAGCGGGCGAGTCAGGAGAGGTCTGCTGCACCATGTGGGCAACTCCTCCCTGGCTGGCCGGGGAGTCAAACTGGTGTTGGAGAGGCTGCATACAGCTTCATAGGTTGTATCTTAACCCCTTGAGCCATCAGGGAGGCCCTCTATTTTACATTTAAATCTGGATTTGAGCTAACTGCATTTCAAGTACATAATGATCGCATGACTAGTGATTACCTTATTGGTGATTGTAGTTCTAGGTTATACCAATATGACAGTTTACATGCCGGTTTTCTAGAGAAAAGACAAGTGATACCAACTAGATATGACTCAGATGTTGGAATGATCAAATCAGGGCTTTGAAACAGCTGTCTTCACTGCCTCAGGCGATAGAAGTAAATACAGCTAAAATTAATGGACTAGAGGACTGACTTAAAAAAAAAAAACAAAAAAAAAAAAACCAAAACTTTTTCTAGAAACTATAAAAACTAAAAGAATTCTAAAACTGAAAAGCAAATGTCTTAAGTAAAATACTGAATGGGCTTAATCGGATAATGGAGATGAGGAAAGATTGGCTGAATTTAAAGATAGAGCAATAAGTTATCTTAGTGAGCGAGAGATTTTAAAAAAATTGAAAAATGTTTTAAGAAGAGCTATTTGTTGATAAGATCTTACTAGTTTTTGATACTATGGCTGCTTTAATTGACTTACAAGTAAATTGACTTTATTTTTTTTTAAAAGATTCATTTATGCGTACAAGAGCTGGGGCACAGTCCAGAGGTGTGGGAGGGTGAGAGGATTCACCAGAGACAGATTGGAGAACAGAACAGGCAGATTTCCGAAGTACACTGCTGAGGGGAGCAGTGGGAGAGACAGGAGAGGTCTTCTGCACCATGTGGGTTGCTCCCTGGGGCTGGGGATTGAACTCATGCTTCAGAGGCTGCGGATTGCTTCATAGGTTGTGTCTCAACACCTTGAGCCACCACCAGGGAGGCCCCTAAGTTAATTGACTTTAGAGTTTTCACTCATATATCTTTTCCTAGTAGTTCTTTTAATAATTTTAAAGTATAATTGTAGTTATTCCTCCTCATCTCCCTTTTTATTCCCCTTTCAAGATTAAACAAATAGATAGCTAAAATAAGTTTTCTTTAAAACATGTCATGGTTGTGTGCCAAAACTTTGTTTTTGTTAGTCCAGCTATAGTCCTCAGGCCAGCTGTGTCAGGACCATCTGGGTGTTTGCTAGAACCCCCAGTAGGATCATAGGCTGGCCTTGGGCCTACTGTAAACTCTACCTGTTTTTTAAGTAGACTGGGTGGTGTATTTGCACTTTAGACTTTAAAGTGTTATGTTCTTGGATATTTTTCCTCAGATGTCTTGAAATCACTGCAAAAGTATAAAGCTTTTTCTCTATAAACCAAAGCTCTGATAGTTAAATTCTAGCTTTCAGAAAATAAATAGACCTAAGTTTGGAACATAATCATTTCTTTTGTTTTAGAAAACAATTGCTCAAGTCTTAGTTCATCTCCACAGAAACGACTATGTGGCTGCAGAAAGATGTGTCAGGGAGAGCTACAGGTAAGGTGCCAGTGTTGTTTCCATTTTTCTTTCTTAATTGGAGATTGCTCCTTAGATATATATTTGTGGCCATGAAACTTTTTTTGTTTTTTAATTTCATAGTGATAGGTGTGCTTGACCACCATTTCAGCTTTTACAATAGAGACTTCACAAATTGTGTTCTTACCTGTATATTTCTCTTGGGAACTTCCATGGGAATGAGTGACTGAAATGATGAAGTTATATTTATTTTCTAAGAAATAAGAAAAAACAAGGAAAAGTTCTCGTATTATGTGTTACTGGAATATCAGAATGAGGGATTTTCTTGTTAGAGATGTTCAAAATGGGCAGCCTCAAAACTGTCAGCATTTTGGGGATTCTCTGTCAACCTGTCATGTGTAGTGTGGGGTGTGTGGCCATGTAGCGTGTGTGGGAGCCTACAGCGCTCCCTTGTAATGATTAAAAATCCCCCCAGACATTGTCAAACATCTGTTGGGGGCAGAATCATCCCTGGTTGAGAAGCGTTCTGTGAAGGAACAGTTGGAGATGTTTGATTCGTCCTTGCTGTAGCATTCCAGGGTTCAATGGTAGTGAAGATTGTGCTGCACTAGAACAACTTCTTGAAGGATATGACCAGCAAGACCAAGATCAAGTCTCAGAGGTCTGCAACTCACCTCTTTTCAAGTACATGGACAATGATGTAAGTGACCTTTTGGTTAGCATTTTCCTGTGCTATAAGATTATTTTTCTCTCATGGACTTGAGATTTTCTCCCTCTACTTTTCATCTCAAACTGGTATTCAAAAAAACCCTTACTCTCAATTTTACCAAAGATTTAGTTTGTCTGGATTAGCTCTCTGGGTTTCTAGCCATTTATTTAACAATTAACTGCTGTCTTGATCTTACCTTTTCAAATTCAATCCCATTTCTCAGCTTCTCCTTCCATTTGTTGGCCTTTATAGGCTGCTTTTAGTTTATTTTCTTCTAGATTTGTGACAGAGGCCCATCCCGTAGTGGCTTCTACAGCTCAGTAGCCTTGTTAGAATCCCACTTCTGTCACAACTAGTTGTATGATGCTGTGTATAAACTCACTTACCCTTTCTGTAAACATAGAGAGCTTGTCCCTGACTTGCCAGCCTCTCATGAAGATTAGCCTGTGTGTGAAAAGTGACCTTGCAGGATGCCCTTCATGTAGTGTGCCACACTGTGGGTTTCTCTTGCGCTTTATTTTTGTTCACTTCCATTTCAGTGGTTCAGTTTGTGAGCTCCTGTTCATTTGATCCTGCAGCTTTAGTCTTGTCCTGGCATCAGACCAGTTAAAGACCTTCATTTTTTTAAATAAATGATGTATCTAATGTAACTAGTTTTATTATAAATAAATTCTCACATAGGCATTTGTAAATTTGTATTTGTTTTAAGTGTTGTCCCTAGCTTACACTCGTCATTTATTCAGCAGATCTTTATTTTATAGGTATTACTAGTATTATGTAACTCAGTACGTTCAGATTATCTCACATTCCTAAGTGTGACATATTGCTGAAGGCAAAGTAGTGTTGAATGGTTTTTTTGGGTAGTTTTTCCATCTAAAAAAGAGCATTGGTTGGGGCCTCTGGTGGCCTAGGGATTGAGTCTCAGCACTATCACTGCTATGGCCTGAGTTCAAGCCCCAGCCAGGAAGCTAACCCATATGGCGCATCAGACCTCTCCTGTCTCGCCCACTGCTCCCCTCAGCAGTGTATTTCAGTAAATCTACCTGCTCTGCTCTCTGGTGAATCCTCTCACCCCTGCACCTCTGGCCTACACCCCAGTTCTTCTTTTAAAATCTTAAAAAAAAAAAAGTTCTTCTTTTAAAATCTTTAAAAAAAAAAACAAAACAAATGAGAGTGTTGGTTTTCATGAAGTACAGAACTTCCTGTAGCTCTGTGTTTTTATGATACTATTGTTGAACCTTGGTTATCAGGATTCTAGTGATCTAGCTTTTGAGACTATGCTGTGTCATTTACAGTATGCGAAGCTTGGCCTGAGTTTGGTGGTTCCAGGAGGGGGAATAAAGAAGAAAGCAGCAGCAACACCACAGACCAAGCCTGACGGTGCCACTGCCACTGCTGCCGAGGAAGATGAAGATGAATATGCAGGAGGGCTGTGCTAGGATCTTGGTTTACAGAAAGAAAGGGAATGATGCTGACACACCACTCATGGACTTCGACTTCTCGCAGGGAATCCAGACTTCATTGCAGTCATGGTTTTGAATGCTAATAAAAACAATTTTTAGTTTCCATTTCCCTAAATCACCCATTGTACCCACTACCTGTGAAGTATTTTCCGGTTTGTTTTCATGATAAAAAATTTTTCTGAGACACCAGCAGGAATTAACAGAAAAATGCATTATCAAAATTGATTTTAAAATTTTCCGGCCAAATGCTAGAGATTGTGTTTTAACAAAAATCATAGATACTCCTTTCACTTGGGCTCTTGTAATTTACTATTAGAATTTCTTTGTATTTTATTTAATTATTGCTGCTAAAAGTGAAGTTTACTGGTTAAACAAAATAGTATTTAAACTTTTGTTTTGAAAAGAAAAATTTCCCCTATGATATTACATACATTTAAATTATTGAATAGTTAAGGGGCAAGATTGGGACAGGAAGCTATATTGAGCATTACAAAATAATTTAGCCTAGTGAAAGACACATTTAAAGTCTTATGTGAGTTTGAAAATTTTGGAGGTAGCACGTTAAAATGACTTTCTAAATGTCTTCAGTTCTCTCTGGAATATGGTTATTTTTTCAACCAAAAGAGTGGCTGTCTCTAAACTCACTTGGTTCTTGACTAAATATGAACTAATAAGGGCCTTTTTAATGCATTCTTGCAAAAAAGTAATATTTCCATCAGCTTATATATGTATTTCCTCTAAAGTAATTTCTAATTCATTTAGAGTTGTAACTGAACAGGTAATTTAATATGTGAAATGTCATATACTATAAAAATTTAGCTGAAAGGAAAGTATTGTTTTTATTTATTTTTTGGGTTTTTTTAAAAGGAGTGCTTTTTTTTTTTTTTTTTTAATTTATTTATATAATAGCTGAGGTACAGGCCAGAGGAGTGGGAGGGTGAGAGGATTCACCAGAGACAGAGTGGGGAGCAGAACAGGCAGACAGACCAAAGGCACTGCTGAGGGGTCTGCCGTGCCATGTGGGAATCTCCCTGGCTGGCCCGAGATCAAACCCATGCTGCAGAGGTTGCGGACAGCTGCACAGCGCTGTGCTCAACCCGCTGCGCCACTGGGGTGGGGAGGCCCAGAAAGTACTGTTTTTAAAGGATATATATTTAAGGTACTATACTGCCAATATTTTAATCCTTAATGGTATTTCCTCAAAGGTTAGTTTTGAAGCATTCCTTTTCACCCTGTGTGGCTTAGACCCATCTCCCAATCTGTTATTGGAAAGAGACTCCAGCCAGCAGTGAGTTCTGCAGGCAGATGCCACCCAGAGTAACTTGTCTCTCTCATGCTCTACTCATCATAGACTCCTACCTTTTGTGAGTTTTGTAAAAGATTTCCTGCAAACACTAAGGTAAATTATTGTAAATTATTTTAGTCACAGTTGGCTAGACAGAATAACCACCTTGTTTGGCAGGTGTGCTTGACAGGTAATATATTAGGATAGAAATCTTGACTGACGGTCTGACTCAAACACATTAATAAATTTAATATTCTGATTTCTCAAGTTACTTGCATACTTCTGGGAAAAGCTCCTTTTCAATAATTGTATGGAGATTAACTTTGAACAGTCTCAACAAAGCTGTATTTAAGAATTTGTGTTTTAAGACATACTAATGTTTCAGAGATCTCATCATTGCTGTCATACCCTGCAGCTCCGGTCAGCAACTTCTGGAGTCTGATTAATACCCATTTGAGCTAATTAATAATTTGTTTAAAAAGATTTAGCAGTACTTAAGAGATATTTCAGAACATTTGTTTATAGACCATACTACCCATTACAGCCTTGGAAAAATTATTTTTACTTTTACACTTTTCTTATACATTAAAAAATCCCAAAATGTGGAATAGTTCAGTGCGTTCTGTAGCAGCAATGTGACTGAGCCTTAATCAACCTAAGAGGCTTTATAGAAGCGTAACCTCTCTCCACCCTCCCTGATCCACATTTCAGAAGTAGTGTGCAGTTCTTTTTTTTTTTTTTTTTTAGTGTGCAGTTCTTAAGAACTAGTTTAAGAACATTTAATGACTAGTTTAAGAACTTGTAAATTTTCTTTGATGTCAGGGTTAGTTTATGTGGTGTCTAGTAAAGAGCATTTGTTCTACCTTTATGTATTTTATTTTTCCACTTAAGTCTTTTATCCTGAGAGTTTAGCCAGAAGTGGAAAATTTGGTGTTTACAACAGGAAATTATTTTCCAGAACTTGTGTTACACTTTTACCAAAGTGGAAGTCTGCATGAATATGCTCAGAATCTAATATTCAATGTTCTATAATATTATAAGTGAAGTCAGTCTACAAAATATATTTAATATATTGAATTTATTTGTACATATGCAGAGTATGGTATTTGTGTATGGAATCTGTGCTTTATTCCTATTTTTTCCAGCTCTTTTATGAGTAGGATATTAAATATGTTATGGAAATGCAGATTATTGCCTCTATAGGAAGATAATTATGAAAATAAAATTTAAAACTATGGGCATGATTTTTTTTTGCTGTTACTCATTTTGCTTTGCTCATTAATTTTCTTTTTTTCCAAGGGAATGTTCTCAATTATAAGATTCTAATTAAAGGATATACAAGAACAGCAGTTAGGATGATTTTAAACTATTAGAATTTTTTTTTTAAGATATTGATCATTCAGTTACTATAGTACTGTATTATCTTCTACTTGGGGGAGATGGAAGACTTTAGTATTTATTTCAAGGGGATAATTCTTTCACTGCATTAAAAGAGAAAGTCATGCCATTAAGAGCCTAAGAAAACTAGTGTGAACTGGCATTGTTTTGCATTTGTATGTACTTAATGCCTTAATTTCCAGTCATTTTCCTATAATTAGTTATTTATGAAGTGTGTGCTATGTAATGTATCTGTCTTTCATAGGATAGAAATTGATCATATGATACATGAACTTAAAAGTTGGAGTAGGAGCTAGAAATAACGCAGAGGAAGGAGCTGTTCTTGCCTGTAATGTGATAATGCATTTCTGAAAGGACACCGTGGGGTGTTCCGTGCGTGCTCTGTGGTCACCTGGGATTTGTAGCACTAAGAGGAGGTGGCTAGGGAAGAGAAGCATAATCTGTCTCTTCATTTGACCAGTTGCTGTCATTAGACCAATTAAGGGCTCAGTAGTGACTTTGATATAAATTTTTTTTTTTTTTAATAGAGGCATGTTTTATTTGTTTGTTTGGGTACAGTCAGAAGCGCGGGAGGGTGAGAGAATTCACCAGAGCCAGAGCGGGGAGCAGAGCAGGCAGAAGGACCGAAGTACACTGCTGAGGGGAGCAGCGGGCGGCAGGAGAGGTCTGCGCGCCATGTGGAACCCACCTTTGGTGGCCGGGGAGCAGCCGGGGATCTAGCCGGCGCTGCAGAGGCCGCGGGCAGCTTCGCAACCCAGAGCTTAACCGCTGCGCCACCGGGGAGGCCCAGATATAAAATTTAAGGACATTAAAAATTTCTTGAAAGAAAACAGAATGGAGACAAACACTTTAAAAAAGGAGAGTAAGCCTCTTCCATTGGAGTGTTTTGTTTTAATGTCTGAGAGGCCTTTGTGCATGGAAAGAACTTACGTGACTGTTAATTAACAGTTACTAAATAAGGTCATTGAATAAAATTTCTGTCATTAGCCCCGCTTGCATAAATCACCTTAAGAGTATAAGGCTCAAACATTTTAAACTACATTTACAGATTTCTTATATCTGATTCTTCCAAAGCTTTCAAGGGGCCTAATGTAGCGCAGTCTTAAATCTTAACTTTCAAAATCTTTGTAAGCACTGAACTAATTCTTGTAAAGTTATAAATCTAATGTATACATATAAATCATAAATCAGGTTTCCAAATTTTCAAATATTGTTTGTGGACTTAAATTCTCAAGTGACTCAAACATTTAAAGAAAGCATGTCAGATTGTTAACTATAAGCATGTGAATTATCATAATGATTTTAAAACTTAACCTGACAAAGTGTTATCACCATAGGGCTGATTTACTCGATCTATATGAAATACTTATTTTTATACCTGCCCAGAGTGAGTCATTTAATTCAGCCAACTAAGGAAAATTAATGTATTGACTTGAGTGGGCCAAATGCTATTGGAACCACAATAAGTTATTGTTCATAGAGTAGGATGTGTGCTGTGGGTGCTACATACTTGCAGAATGATTCTCCACATACCACAGATGAGTAAACATGGATTCTTGTGCTATTTCTGTAGAGGCCAAGGTTTAATTCCATATTTAAAGCTTCTTCCTTATGCAGTGGTGGTGGTGTTTTTGATAATCTTAGTCAGCATTTTATAATTTGATTGGTATAGATAGACTTCTGAACCTAACGGTGAAAATAACTACCCTTTTTGATTCAAGTTTTGTCTTAATTACCCAAATGTTTTCTGCACCTTTTCATATTTTGTGGATTTAGGCTGTGATTCAATAGTGTTTATATTAATATACCCATAACTTAGTAGGAATTATATAGATAAACTTAATGAAATAACTGCAACTATGGATAAAATGATGTGGACTACAGGGAAGGCTTGACTTCATCAAAAGTTGGTCAGTCAAGAAAGGGTCATGATGATGCTGTAGTAACAATCCAGAATGTTTCAAACAATAAATGTTTGTTTTCATTCATGCTCCATGGTCACCACAGGTCAACTGAGGGCTTTGCTCATAGGGCAGGACAAGGGAGTGTTCAGGGTCACAGTGGCCAGGGAAAGCTCTAGAGAACCCTTCCAGCAGTGATTGCTCCCCCTCCCCGGAAGGGATACACTTGACTTGACTCAACTCATCACATGGAACCAAGCCTTTGTATCCTAAGGGCCGAGGAAAGGAGAATAAGTCATAGTGGGGTCTATCACCAGCTACTTAGGCCCAAGAGCATTTGTGGCCAATAATAAGTTTTTTTTTTTTAAACTTTTCCTTTCATTATAGGAGTTTAATATAAAAACATATTCAATCCTAAAGTGGTTACTGTTATCCTGTTAGATACATACATAGTGATTTCACCTATATCATTGCATTTTACCCTTGGTAATCATTCTGTTATTAAGCAAACCCTGAGGAATTAATTTACTCTGA